GATCTTGTAGTTAACCCTTTTTGTATAGAAGTCTGCTTTTTGTGGGTAGGGGTTGAAGATAAAAAATGGGCCATTTTCCTCCATGCTAGCACTGATGCTGGGGAAAGACAATCCCAATGGGACTTACTCATTAGGCATCATCTCTAATGGGGAGATACTTGGTTCATTGGGGGGAACATCAATGATATTTTGCATAATGGTGAGAAGAAGGGAGGGTTGGCTAGAACTTATCATAGTTTATCTAGTTTTGGTAATTTCTGTCGAATTCTTCAAGTCTTTGAATGTCCTTTTGTTGGGCACCCTTATACTTGGTCAAATGGTAGGAAAAGGGGGGACTTTGTTGAAGAAAAATTGGATAGAGTTCTGTTATCCCCAGAATGGCTCCTCCAATTCCCCAAATCCTTGGTCCATCATATGCCTCTTATCTCATCTGATCACAGTCTGCTGCTTCTGGATACTGATTATCAATCTGGGAAAGATAGAAAAAGATTTTGTTTTGACAGCAGATGGAGACAAAAGGAAGGGTTCCAGGAATGTGTTAAAGCTGCCTGGGAAATTCATGCTCAAGGCAAAGGTCTCTACAACTTTCCAAAGAAACTCAAGAATGTAAAGCTTGGTTTACTTGGGTGGTTAGTCAGCACCAACACCAATTCTGCCAAAATCATCAAGGAGTGTAATGCCAAATTAGAAGCTCTGAGTGCCATGGGTGGATTCAGGGACTGGGATGATTGGGATAATTGTAAAAAATCCCTGCACCAAGCTTACATAGATGAGGAAACATATTGGAAACAAAAAGCTAGATTGAAATGGCTCAAAGAAGGAGACTCAAACACAAAATTCTTCCAAGCTTGTGTCAAGCAAAGGAGATGTAATAATTCTCTTGACAACCTGATAAAGAGAAATGGGCAGAAATGTATGAGCAGAGAAGAGTCCTTGGTGGAAATCCAAGATTTCTTCCAGCACCTGTTCCAGTCCCAGAGCCCTGCTTTTGACGACTCTGTGCTTGATGGAATACCCTGCTCCATATCTTCTGGAATGAACTTGAATCTTACTAGGCCTGTGGATGAGCAAAAAGTTAAATCAGCTCTCTGGGAAATGGATCCAGGTAAAGCCCTAGGTATTGATGGTTTTTCTCCATCTTTTTTTCAAAATCTGTGGCATATCATTCATAAAGATCTATGTGCTGTTGTTTCCAATTTCTTACAAACTGTTGCATTCTCAGAGCCACTAATCACACTCTTATTCCCCTGATTCCCAAAACCAAAAACCCTCAGAAAATTCCAGATTTCAGGCCCATCAGTTTATGCACAGTTACCTATAGACTAATTGCTAAGATTTTGGCTAACAGGCTCAAAAGTGTGCTACATGACTGTATATCTCAGTCTCAGGCTGCATTTGTTCCTGATAGACTTATTTTAGATAATTTAGTCATAACTAATGAGTGTATTCACTTCATCAATAGTAAAAGACAAGGAAAAAAATGCTACATCCTCTTAAACTTGACATGGCCAAAGCTTTTGACCGTGTTGAGTGGTCTTTTCTTATTAGAGTATGTAGGAAAATGGGTTTCTGTCATAAATTCCTTCACTGGATTTGGACTTGCATTTCATCAACTTCTTTCTCTTTCAATATTGGGGTCAACCCACAGGTCACATCACTCCCTCTAGAGGAATTAGACAAGGGGAACCCTTATCCCCATATCTTTTCATTATTGTCACAGAGGCCCTCTCTAATCTCATCAAAAAAGCAAACACAGTCTCAAATTTTCATGGCATTAAGATCAGCAGACACTCCCCTATGACCTCTCACCTCTTTTTTGCAGATGATGCTTTGATTTTCTGTCAGGCTGACTCTTACCATGCCCTTACTCTTCTTCATATTCTGAATGTCTATTGTAATGCTTCAGGCCAAGCTGTTAACATGCACAAATAAAATGTTTTTTTCTCTGCCAATACCCCCAGTCAGAATAAAGATGCCATCTGTCAGATCCTTCATGGCATTGTTATTGCTAAATCCTCTAAGTACTTGGGGCTCCCCATGGGAACTGGATTTCTAGTTGAAAATACAATTTTCTGAGTGAGGCTGGCAAAGAAATCCTTATAAAAACTGTTTTGAATGCCTTACCAGTTTATGTAATGCCTGTGTTTAGACTTCCTATCGGAGTTTGTCAAAATATTTGCAAGGAAATTGCCAGCTTCTGGTGGGGTAGAAAGGAGAATAGGAGCAACAGAATCCATTGGTCTCAATGGGACAAAATTGCCAAGAGCAAGT